TGGCACACGGAATTTCAGTCCTCTTTTAGATGACTGTCACATTGACTAATTTGCCATTGTGTGTTGTTCAACGTTTTTTCCCATTTTTCTCTCCTTGGCCTTTGTCTACGTTTTTTTCCTTTCTCCCCCTCTTCCATTCCCGCTGTTCTAATTCTCCTTGCTAGTAGAATTGTTGTAAATGTTGCTGCTCTGCTCTCTGCTAGCCACCTTACGATAACTCTCGCTTTCTTATCCATGCTGAACACTCCAATACCCAATTTAAAATTTGATTGATTTAAACTTATTATTAAAAGGAGCCTTGCCATTTATAACAGTCTAGTGCACAGGGTTCCGACCCTGGTTTAATAAATAACTGACTACTCATTTTGGGAAAAATCCCGGACCAAGCTCGATACATTGATCCAATCAAAACCCCTGACCTGCATACCGGATAAGTCCCATCCGCGTTTGTTTTATGTTCCTTCTCTCGTAAATCGTTGTTACATTTTGTTTACCACCTTCATGTTTTCCGGAGTTAACCCTATAATCTTATTTATGTACGTGTTCTTCCATTAATTTCTCCATTCGTTACTTCTCGAGATCAACTCCTTACTTGCTTACTACTAACGTCTATACGCGTTTATCTGCTCTGTTATAATAAACTCCCTCATCGGAATCTGCCTGTGCTATCAAAACATCACGTTCAGTTCCGATGCGATTCAGACTGTGTGCAAAGAATGTTAGATACTCCGAGTTCGGAGCGCCAAATTTATTCTCGTATTGGGAAGAAGAGGAAACAGTCGACAACAGATAACAATTCTTCGTTCCCAACTGGTCCGTTCGAGACGGACATGACAATGGTGGCTGACGGTGAGCGTACCAGCCCCCAATCCCATTCCGCCCCTTTTCCCCGCCAAGATCCTATCCACGCGACAAACCTCCCCGACCCCTACGCTCCCAGACCCTTATTAGCACTTGAGATATATGAAACAGATCAAAGCATCCGTGAATTTTTGCGTGATTTCTCAATCCTACTCCTAACCGTTCCACCATACGAACGTACTTGCTACATTTTGCTGTTCTTATCCCCCCAGCTCGCCGACGTGCATTGGACGCAGGAATCGAACCCACATCAGACTTCAACCGAGCCACAAATATTCTCATTCAACTCTTTGACCATCCACAGGCCCCATGGGTCGCCAACCAACGTTTCGCCATCCTCCGTCAATGCCCTACACAGACCGTAGACAATTTTGCGGGGTGCATAATACGCCTGGCAACCAGAGGTCACACCAACTTACCGGAGACAGACCGTGACTGTCTACTCCTCCACCATTTCATCGCCGATCTACACGACGAAAAGGTGGCAGACATTCTCCATTTGCCCCCTCCCCCTAACTTATCCTCTGCCATTCGACAGTATCGCCCATATGAAATGGTGGTGGGTGGCAGGCCATCGAGAGTGTTCTTACTGGCGGTGAGATGGAAATAGCGGTAGTCGTCGTCGTCGTCCTTGTGGAGATGGAGTAGGAATGATGAAGGTGGTGGAGGGCGTAATGTCCGTTGACAACATGGACTCGTTGGAAGGAACTGGATATGTTGGGGTTGTGAGCCTACAGCACCTGAAGCTTGCGAGTCCCTCTTCTGGCTTTTGCGGCGCCGATCCGGTTGGCCTCGTGGATTGCCATCTCAGTCCTCACTGTTATTTTCCAGATCGGTCGACTGTGACAAAGAGCCTTCCGGGCCGGTGGATTGAGTTGTTGATCCTTAAAGGAGGTCGGTAGGACGTATTTGTAGTGTGAGTCTCGATGGTCGCTCCACATCCAAATGGACTCGCATTTCCACGGCATTATCACGTCGCAACCAGCATTGGAGTGGTAGGGAGGGGAGAACGCATACGGTCGTGAGGTGGGACATTCTGATGAGGAGGAAGCAGGAGTTGATGTCATCAGCAAGTTTTCCAATCTCTCAGTCAACTGTTACACATGTCTGACTAGCGCTCATTGATGTTCTAACGCTCCTAGGATGCTTGTCTTCTCCAGGATACAGAAAACAACATCAGCATACTACAAATATTCGCATCATTCAAAAGTCGAGACAAGCGTTTCTCTGCATTTCAGTCACTGAATGGCCCAGCTAAGGGGACATTGGTTCGACGGTATGTTCCTTGCCGGTTTCCTACACTCAAATGTCTGAATTAAGCCAAGGTCCATTGGGACAACCTCAAACCCGGAGCCCGCATCCCATAATCGGTGATAGCTAGCAACAGAGACAGAGAAGACTGAATAGGCATTACTATCATTAATAGTAATAGCTTTATTTTGAAGTGACCGGAGGAATGTACTAGTGCAATGTGAAGACTGGTTTAAACAGTGCGATAATTTACCATAATTTTGGTCTGGGTGTCTGCATGAAGCAAGCAATTGTACAATGGAATTGAAAGATAAGTTTTATGAAGTAGGAAATGATACTGGTGTCCGGGAGCGTTTTAGCATACATCATGCCTATGGTAGTAATATTCACATGTTCGCAATTGACATTTTGAGGTAAAACAACGATCTGTGGGTGGAGCAGTAAAACAGACTGCTGAACATGAAGCACGGTGGGGGCGGGGACTTCATAGAATCCGAGCTTTTTTGGAAGGAAACAAGCACCGTGGAAGACAGTGGAAGAGTTCAGGACAGGTTCATGTTGACAGGTGGTAGTCGATTTACGGCAGAGGGTGATGAGAAAGTCAAAACACTGCAGAAGTAAGTGGTTGTGCAGTGCTGACGGATTAGGAGAGGGGTTAGAAATTCATGAGAAAAACGAGCACAATCCTCATCGTGTCCGCCATGGTTCATGAACCCGGAAGCCCATGACCGGATCCAGCTGCGGCAGTGTGACAACCGACTCAGAGGTGTCACAATAGACACGCCCGATGGTGTTTCTTTGCAGGAGAACTGAGGGGGCGAGGCCATCACATTCCAACTGCCAGTCAGAAATTCAATGAGAGTGGTCAGCGAGCGAACCGGAAGCCGCATGTCTCATGAAACTCGGTCTATTTATCAAACGGTTGAGTTACATCAATTTGGCTTACTTAAGAATTACCTTATTTCGCAACACGTGACCGCCGGTGGGCAGCCGCGCCGTTGTTCAGGTCCAGTATGACCCGAAACCATTCAATACAATTTAGCCCTTGAAGTGCATCACAAATCAACTCGACGACCTTCGAGATGTTAAGCCCAACGAGAATGTTATTTCGTTACATCAGATGGTGGAATGAGGATCCAGATGTAGCTGGATCATTAAGTACACCCTATGACCGTAGGATGTTCAGTCAGAATAAAGACGGAACCCCGTACTCAGAAAGCATTTAGTCCGTCCCTCGTAACTTTCAAGATTCATTTTTCCTTCATCTCCTCGTCTACAACACTTAAGCAATAATGTGAGCCCGTATAAATGACGTAATTCAAGTATAAATAAGGTATATGCATCGCACAAGGTCCTTATGCATGCATGTTCTATCTTACCGTGACCGATCTTTTTAACCGACTTGCTTTATTTAAGCCAGCTAAGCATCACTTATCCAATACGCACGACCGAGGATAAGGGATGACCTTGGGCGTAAAGAAGCATTATTTTAGGTTATTGGTGTCGGCTTTCATGAATCTATTTTAACTCATGACCTTCTACCTAAATGAAGATCAAATTACACGTAATCCATTTTCTTTACCTTGTCATATAGTTCCTAGTGTATCACAATCTAATACGTTCAAATGGCCCAATTACGCATCTCCCGTTAGCACACTTAGCGTAGCATCCTCATCTACAAATCCCACGAGTTTTAAGGACAGTAGAAATGCGGACAGTAAGGAGGAATCTAGCATTGAACGGGACATAAGCTTCAACTCTGATACATCCATATGGACAACTGGCACCGAGCTCAGATAGCATTAAGTCCACTCGTATCTTTCAAAATTCATTCTTTCATCATCTTGTTCCCTGCAGCACCAAAGCAACAATTTGATGTAATTTGAGCTATTATAAGTAAAAAGTGATTTGCATCGCACAAGGGCTTTATGCATGCATGTCCTAGTCTACATCGACTACGTCTTTTGGCCGACCTGAATTACTTAAGCCATGTAAGCATCATGTGACCAATATGGACGGCCGAGCACACTGAAAGGCAACCTAAGCATTGTTTAGCACAAACCAACCCCCCTCCAAACCAGAAAGAGTGGGGAG